TGTTTCATAAGTGGATTTATATAAAAATTGTTAAGTCGTTGATTTCATACCGACACGAAAATTTTTGTATTACGTTATGTGTTGTAGCGTGGGTAACGTTTAATTTTGTTTAATAGTGCTTACAATTTGTTTATTAATGTTTCATTTTGGTTCACTGACGTAAGTAATTTGTTTGAAATGTATTTCCATGATTTTGCATTGTAAGTTTTATAGTTGCATCCTTCTGATGATGATTGTATAATCGAAATCGATTAAGGACATGAATATAAAAATATCACTTAGTATAAAGTCTTTCTTTGATAAATAATATATACATGTTTTAAAAGACAAGACAAATATATTAGAATGGGCATTCAGTAATTGAAACAAAATATTAACACATGAAAACTTATCCAGATTCACGTGTAAATACTTGAATATTGTCAAATAACTGAGATCTCAGCTGTTCTGCGGAGCAAGGGGTCTGAGAGTGGGGAAAAATAAATTTTATTACTAACAAACCCATAATTGTTCAAAATATAAGATATGTAAAAATCATAAAAAAACAAGAGTAATCATGTCGTAATCTGGACACTTGAAAACATAAAAATTTGCAAAATATCCAGGGCAACAAAAAAAAATTTTTTTGTTGTAGAGCTGTGTTATCGATAGCAATATGGAAAGAAAATTATTTTTGTGTTTTTCTATTATTCTAGAAATAAGTTTTGCTGGAATTCAGAAAAATTCCTGATTAATGCTGGTTTACAACAAACTTTGTATTATGTTTGATAAATTTTTAATCAAACATAAATCAGTAAAATCTAATTTACGTTCTAATTGCTTTCTAATCTTTTCATAAGCTTCTTTTCTAAAAAATCTCTTCACAAATGTCTCTTGCTGAAAATAAGATAAAAATCCTTATGATGTGTGGTACTGAGATATAAAAAGGACAGTTGTGAAAGCTTGCGCTGTTTTTAATGATGTAGTAGGTACACATTCGTCCACCAATTTCATCACCCTATGGTTAGTAAAATTATTGCCAAATACAGAGATAATGAACATATGCGTGATTCATTAGGGGTTAGTCGTCCAAGAATAAATGAAGACCAACTTGAAATTTCCAAAATCTTAAAAATTATCAAATTGTTGATAATTGAATTCAAATTTTAATTTCAAGGTCGAAATCGGAAAAACGCAATCAAACGATTTTTATATTCAGTCAGGTAGAAAAACTAGTGAAAAAGAAAGCATATGTCTTCTAGAAAAAGTTACTTGTAAATTATATGTTTTATAAGCTGCGTATATAGCATAATTGATGACATTGTAGCGCGGGCACACGATTTAGCTCATAACTCATCTACGAAACTTATTGCGTTAAGGCAAAATGAAAATTCGATTGATATTTTTCTATTACAGTTGAAAACATGGTCATATCATTATCATGTAGATTGCCAAAATTGAAAATTCAAGAGAGACCATGATGAAATTGCTATCTTTAGAAAACAAGTCAAAAATTTAGAGGTATAGGACACGTTACTTTTCGTAAAAGTTGGACGAACTATATTCACTATGCGCCTGGCTCACATTGTAAAGTTGTCGCTTGCTTATATCTTTGATTTGCAACTGGCTTATTTTGTAAAATCACTTCTTCACTTACCTGTCTTTTCTCGTCATTTTCAATTTCGTTTTCTTCTCTCAGTCAATCAAAGAAACTTCTTAAGCTATCCTGGTTTTCAACATAAGAAACATCAGCTTCACTTAGGTTCGTTGACATCAGTTATTTTTTAAGTCGACAACTATGATGATAGGTTTTCTAGGCGCAAATGCAATTTTTTCCCCAATCTATCAATTTCCTTTTGTGAAATGAACTGGCTTTAAAATCCGTAGTTGTATGGCTTTTGATGGGTAATATTTCAATACTTTCAATATTTCACTTTTACTCTAACCAACAGTGGTAGGTTATCTTCACTTGTTTTGGAAAATAGATAGATGATGAATGCGGTTATCCCAAAAAGACCAAACCTCAATTATGTTGTAAAGCACCCTTTACACCTTTTTATTTAAGATAATTTTTTATAGTACTTTCTAATTCAAAGAAATTTATTAAACTTTTTGTAAATTGCAACGATATCAGAATTAGATACAACTGTTTTTATTCCTAAATTGCTAATTCTGATATTGTTGTGTTGAACTCTTTATTTTACATATCTTACATGTGTTACGCGCTACGAGGAGTTGCTGAGAAAAGTGGACCGCGGTGAAATTATTAATAACTAATTAATAAGAAAACTGTCTTTTATTGGTTTGACCAACACTCACATAACAATAAATATTGACATCATTTCGTATGTAATTATGAGCACTTGCATCCTGATATTTAAGCTATACTTCATAATTTGATTATCAATTTTGGATTGAAGCTCCACTGGCAAAATTTACTAGCAACCGAGGAAGCAATCTGGGTAATTTCGTGCATGTTTATAATCACATCAATTAAATTACACAAGACCTGGAAGTTTAATTGAGCATCGAGTGGCACTTTGGTCCTCTTCCGTCGTCATACTTCAAAGGGATGTTAATTAATTGAACCTGTGATAAAATTTAAATTTCACCTACAATGAGTTATTTCACATACCAATTTACAAAATTTTATCTTGATGAATTTCCAGTAACGAATTAAAAAAATAATCAAATTAAAATACAAAAATAACCATAAGTATTGTTTATAATTAAGCAGTGACGATGTATTTATTCAAGTCATTACAAAATGAAGATCATCATTAGAAACCTATTAAGATAAAATTTATTATGTAAAGTTATGCGGAAGAAATGAAATGTAAAGTGTCGAAACAATCCTCTATGCTTACCAAAGCATTAAATGTCTCATGCAAATCAACTTTCATTATTGCATTTGCAAAATTATTACTTTCGTAGCCACGACGGGTTACGAATATTGCATATGCGCACGCGGACAAGATTTGTAGCTCTTCTATTTCCGTGACTATCCTCCTTTTACATACAACGCAATCATGTTAAATAGATCTCGACTTAAATTGCAAAGTCATGTCTCTACGACCTAACTCTTAATATTCCCGGTGGGTAGAAAATCTTTCTCCTAATGGATACATTTCCTCCACATGGTGTACGAAAGCCACACTAAATTACATACTTTGTTACGGTTTTGCATACCTCCCAATAAATTTATTCGTTAACTCTATGCTCTTTACTTACACTTCCTCTTTCTATCTACAATTTCAACGTAGTTGACTCATAAATAACTTAGAGGTGAAAAGGAAACTTTGGTTATATTTCCTAATAAAATTTAATTATACAAACCACCGCTTTCATGCCTTTGGCTTGAATCCTCTCGCGTTTCTTTACCAACCATGTAATGGGATTCGGGAAAATCACCTGGCATAAATTCTCATTACGCTAACAGCTAGAAATTATTAATTACTTAGAGTAATGGGCCCATCATAACGCAGATTAACTACCATAACGGGGTGTCAAGGTAATAATATCGATTAATGGGTGGTAGTTACATGGATTTATGTGATTCTAAAAGAAAATTTAGTTTAATTTTGGCTCGGTTGACTTAGTTATGATATTGCTTAGTTTACATTTTAAACACATAAAATTATACTGAAATTTAATATTCAAGTGAAGTTAACTAAATTTATAATAAATTTGCAATAAATTGATACAAATTAATTCAACATCCAGTTCATTATTAAGAAAATTGGCCCTCTAATATAATTATTTTTTTAAGTATTTAAAATTGCATTTGTTCTTTCCATATAAAAAGTCGTTCAATTCACTCCAATCAATTTAACTTAATGGAAAAGGAAAGAAAAGGGGAAGTATCAAGAAAATTTATGAGGAGTAATCCAAAACTGGACAACATCTTCCTTAAAAACCTCTGTATTTGCATCAATATAGTTACAAGATACCCAACCCCTATAATTATATTAAAATTCCCCTTTTCGAACGAATAAAAAAAGTCTTGGAATAAAAGGCTCCGCCTTATTAACATGCATTAAGCGGCGGCGCGTATAATTTAAAATTTCATAATCATAAAATAAAACTCGGCGCAACGTTTTAATTAAATTCACCGATGATTTTTTCGTGTATCCCGCCTTTTAGATTTTACGCTTGCTTCCCCCTGTAATCATGGCTCAATCTACCCGCACATTTTGTCCCGTCATATTCTTCCATATAGATGACGGTCATTAAGTCCTAAACAATTTTCTACGCTTTTCGATGTAGAGGTGGACTTGGTTGGGCGTATTCTGTTCTTCCTCCGGATCGCAAAGAGAACGAAACGATCTAACAATAAGAGGACTTTTGTTTTGTGTCTTCTTCGCGTGTAGTGTGTCGAATCGGAAGATACGCCCAACTATTTATTGATCCTGGTGCCATAAATATTCAATGGACCGAGGCGGACGGAATAAATGTTACTGTTAAATAGCGCGAATTGATGAACGGGGTATGCGCATTTCAAACGGCGTATAAATGATGATTCAAACTCGAAAAGAGTTGTGTTTGTTTCTAATTCCAATCAAAATTTTTGTGTTATCTTATTCAAAAAAATCTAATGGTGTTGAAAACTAATTGAATAAATGATGACACTTATTTGAGTTCTTCGTAATAATAGACAAAAGGAGATTTATCAATCCAGAATTGTTTACACTTTGCTTATTTTGACATGGTGATTTATTCGATTTTATTTTTAGATAGTTCTCTTCTATCTTCCTTCTTCAAATCGAATTGCGGAATTACGGTTCAAACGTTGTTTATGCCGTCTCTAATGAGAAGAGTGGTCCGATAACGGCCGCGCTATAACTTGAAGCCCGATTCGAGGCAATAAAATCAAGCCGTTGCTAATTGCCGACTGTTTATTACCACATAACACACTTCTGCTTAAACAATATTACGATTATAATTTAAACAACACGAATCGAAAGATAACATTTCAAATTTGTTGTTTAAATTTTATCAAAAATTTTTTTTTTTTTTTTTAGATGATCCTGACGGAATTTTTAACGCATCCAAGAGATACGCAAGTGAAGTGTTTTGGAAGAACGATACCGTCGTGGGCTTGGAAATCTTATTGCGTGATCGGAGTGTTTGGTTTTGGTGCGGCTTGTTCGCAATTAACTACTGATGTTATGAAATATACGGTTGGAAGACTGAGGCCTCACTTTCTTACGGTTTGTCGGCCGGATATTGATTGTACCCTTGCCGCTAACCAACATAAATTTCATGAGTACTTTAAGTGCAGCAACAGCGATTTTATGAATAATAGGAGAATTATGAAAGAAATGAGGTAAGTCAATAAAAACTGAAAATGAGATAATTGTTGGCGTTTATACTTAGTGTTGTTATGTTGATTAAGGTTTACAAATTTCCATATCGATCGTCTCGTAAATATATTAGTGTACAGATTACACTAATTGCGTTATCGAGTGACAATAACTTGGAGCGTACATAATAAAGTTATTACTTTCTACATAATCAATACTAAACAATGATGATAGCAGAATTTTAACATTCCGTAAAACTAAATTATTTTTCCATAACTTCTTCTAATATAAAATCTCTGGAAAGGTATAGAAATGCACTCTGAAAGTGCTCACTTTAGGTATTATTAAGCACAGCTAATAAAAATGCTCTTAGTCGAAAACTCTGTAACTTTCAACAAACGGTAATTATTAAAGTCGGCCATAGCAGCTTATAATTTGCAATATAATAATACAACATTCTTTTATAAGCTCATAAGTTCCATTTCTTAATTTGAAGCTCTTAAGGACCAAACTATTTTTATCTTTTATCCCATTTTCAACAAATGTCAAATTAAATCTGTGATTTTTAAAATGTTATACTACTATAATAGTTATTTATATTACAAGTGGGCTAGAAACATAATTACAGTACGAGTGTGGAGAAGTGCACGACGAGGTCGAAGACCGAGTCGTGTAATCACACGAGTACTGTAATTATGCTCTAGCCCACGTGTGATATACAGCATTTTATCTACGACTGCTAAAAATTACTAAAAATACATTTCTTTAGAAAAGTCTATTTGACATTTATAAAAATATTTTGAAATGATTATTGACAATTTTGAATTGTCAGTTTCAACAACATGTTTACTCATCTGGAATAAGTGTTTTGAAATGTAAAAACATAACAATTAATGTTGCTCGTTTCAATAAATTAAGTCTGTTCTGATTAGGCTAAAAATGCGTTACGTAATGAAACCAGTGCGGTAATGAACTTCATTACGTAACTCAAATTACCTCAAATGAGTGAATCGTAGATAAAATAAAATAATCACTCTGGAAACTTATAATTTTGTACAACATAACTTCAAACGTTTCTTTATAACCGAAAAAAGTTTCATTCATTCATTTTAAGCTGTTTTGGGGACAACATTTTTTATCTTTTATCCCATTATGAACAAAGTTCAAGTTAATTCGGGGAATTTTAACATTTTATATAAAGTGATCACCCTAGCTAGAAGCTTATAATTTGGTATAACATTACCTTAAACATTTCTTAATTTCATTCGAGAAAACGTTTTTTCTTTCAAATGCATTTGAATTTATGAATTCAAGTTGAAGTTGCTTACAATAATATAGATTGGTTGAAAAGTGTCATTAAGAACGGAAATTTCAGTTGAGATTATAATAATAAATATGATAAAACTGATAGTAAAAAAATTATGAATCTAACAATAAATCGTTCAACAGTCCAGACCATTAACATAAATTACAATGAGACTGACTCGTTCGATAGCAAAGTACGAAGAGAGAGCAGCTAAAGAAATTATGTTGAAGAAATATCAGGTTCATATTAAAAAAAAGTGAGCCAAACCCAAACAAGTAAAATTAGCTGAACATCGCGATTGTATCTAAAAAGTCTGGACATGCAAGAACATTCAATAAATCGCTGTCTTTGACTATAGTCAATCTCAATCTCATGTTTTTATTTTATTTATTGATATCGGGGAGCAACAACAGGATAAACCCAATAAAGTTGCTCCACATAATTATTATATACGAAAACCTTAAATTAATATTATTAAATATTTAAATTACACATGATGTGCGCAGTCTTCACATCCTCGCGGACCGCAAACTTAATATTTCGTGGGTTACTCTAAAAAAGATCGCAACTCGCCCGATTCGCGGTTCTTTCCATCCTCAGAATAGGCGAGATACGATATGCGTTTGTTCGTGGAGTGGGCATATAAAAAAGGAAGTCGTACCGTAACTGACGAGGAGGAACATGAAAATCAATTCTCGCCATCAGCGATGGGGAATCAGTATGACCATTGACAAGCTTGTACAAAAATAAAACGTCATTATATACTCTTCGCTGGGAAAGCGTTAACAATCCGAACATTTCACAACCAGACGCATAGTTACTGTACACTTGTTGGGTTTTATAACACAAATATTTAATCAGTCGTTTTTGGATTCCTTCTAACAGTGTTGACAAGGGAATAGATTTTTGGTCTACAGTTGTTTACCTGGCAAATCGAAGTGCAACATTTTTGAATGTGATGATTGGCCAAAAGTTTGTAGGAACACGATGATGGAGCTGAAAAATTTGTTATCAACCGTAAAGCACGGCAATGGGCGTGGGAGAAATGGTGTTCATTGATGGCATTATGGATTGAGTATCAAGTCAAAAGTATTTTAAATGAAAATTTGATGCCATCAGTGGAACACTTGAGCCTTGAAGATCGCTAGATTTTCCAGCAAAACAACGAGCCCAAGCATACAACAAAATTTGTCAAACACTAATTGCTGTATAATATACCCAGATAGTTCAATATACCTCTTCAGAGCCTGGATTGAAATCAACATAGGATTCGGCAGTGTAAAATAACAAATGACAAAATATTAAAATCTGCGTTAGTGGAATCGTAGAATTAAATAGCAGTAGAAGAAGTAACAAACTTAGTTGCTTGAATGCACGACGCCTACGCGTAGTTATAAAATTTCAACTAGCACAAATCTTATGAAAGACTTAAAGCTTATTAAAAGCTCTCGAACTGAGAAAGTGTGTATTTTATTATGAAATTATAGTTAATAAATGTGCAATTAGTCGGGAACGCTATACTTCACCAGCTTTATTATACTGTTTAGATAAATATTATATTATCAGATATTAGAGCTAGGACATAAAGAAAATCGGCAAAGCATAATATTTTACAAAGCACTGCTTTAAATATCATAGTTATTGAATGATATGGCTTTCGAGTTTTGCCTTTGTAAGAGTTTGAGAAGCGTTTCAAATGTAGGCTATGACTATTAATATTGTTTATTTGCGATTTATTGAAAAATTAATGGTACGTACAATAATGGTATTGATGTGATTCTTATGTGTGTCTTAAATTTGAAGTTAATTTAGGACAAAGAATCGGTAATAGTTGTAGTTCTTATCGTTTTTGAGTTCTTATTTTCTTTATGACATAAAAGAGTATTAATTTCTAAAAATCTTTAAATATTCTGCCTATGCAAGAACTCAACAGGTAAAAATTCAATAAACCACTATTATACAAAACAATAATCCATTATATAAACAGGTCAAACTCTATCAGTAAGGAACAATTTTATAAAAGTTATGGCAGCAGAAGACTTGTTAAAACATTTTAGTTTCTTCAGCAACGAGTATTAATCAATTTGTTTAAAAACCTTCTCAAAATCAGTAGAAGTAATATTCGCTTGCTTAACAACATTCATGTTTCAACAACGTACTAGACAAGACAGCTCAATTAAAATGTACTGTACTCAAATGTACAGTGATGTAAACGGTAATATAATATTCGATCATGTATTCCAATATTTTTTCATCCTTGGGATGTCATCCCCTGATATGCGATAGACAACTTCAAGCGGCATTTATCCCAGCATCTTCTTCTTCTCCTGATCCTTATGCTTGATGGCGTCGGATAAATCTTTTTTCTATTCCTCCATCCACTTCTTCGACTACCTCCGGTTCCTTCCGGCTAATTCCTTTATATCTGCTAGGGAGTCTTCCATTTGTTCTTCCCAACTTCTGCTATCCTTTCCTCCCAGTTCTTCTTCTTCCCCCTCTTTTTCTTATCCTTATTGTTTGCTTCAAATACCTTTTCTACTATTGTGTTATGTTTCATAACACGATATTCAGTTCTCTTAAACTATCAAATTTAAGGTTACAGAATTCGTATTATATTTTTATTTATTCTGTTTTGTCTGATTTGTCAACAAATGTTACTTTGATACTGAAATGATCCAATCATAAACTTAGGATCCTAAATTAATTAAGATTTTAGCCAACTATTGGAGTTCGTGTTGATTTTTAAGATTAAGATTATAGTACGATACACTTTATTAATTACAAATTATATCTATTGTCAAAATGGCATCGTATCGATTCGTATTGTTTGAACTTATAAACATCACAAGCATCATTAGCAGATAATAAATGCTTTTAATTGACTTTAGTATTTTTATTAAAAAAATGTAACGTTTTATCAATATAATGTTTATTATTATCAAACGAAATGAACACTGCTTCAAACTGAAAAACAATAATAAATTTATCCATTCTTATTGTACACTTAATGTTTTCTAATGACACATTTCATTCTAATACTATTTTTGCAAACATGTATCATAAATAATGGGAATTGTTTTCAGTGCTAATAATAACTATATAAAAAATAAAGCAAGTGCACTTTACTAAAATTGCAACTAAAAAAATAATGTGAATTCGATAATATTATATGAACGTATGGTTTAAAGTATTAAAGTTACAACTTATTAAAATTTTATAAAAAAAATAAACTATGTACATGTATCTGCAGTTGCAATCGATTTAAAAAAAAATCGACAAAGACCTGAATAAAGTCTCCGTGGATAAAGTTTGGTTTGAGATTAAGCTAAATTAAACGAATATCCAATTGGTGTTGGTTTCCCTTTTGCGTTAAGAGTTTTAAAATTTCTTCATACAAAAGGTATATGTTTATCAAATACGATCTTTTAGCAATAAAATAACACCTTATCATCGGAATCTAAGCAATGGTATATGTTGCGCCACGGGATACTTTTTATGGCGCTTTCGAATTTATTGTAATTTAAGCATCTAAAGTCACGACAAGCCTTCATGAATAACATTCTAGACTCCGAATTGTTGAGAGTACAACAATACTTATTCTTAACATTTTTAGTTGGTTATTTTTTAGAATTAAATCGATTATACCACATGAATTATCTGCGATTATCTGATCAAGGAATAAATGACAGTTTAATAGACATTTTAGGCATCTTTAAGAGGACGACAAAACCCAAAATCCAAATTTGAATGAAATATCTTGAACTCAATCAAAGTTTTTTGGGTTCAACAGATTATTATCGAAGTACATTGTCAAAATTATATGGTGGTGGGGAGAGCTTTAATGGACCTCTGAAAATGTTGTAAACAATTTAACCCTTAACTACCGGTATTAGTAGTGGTTTCTGAAACTGCCCTAAAGCGTTAAGTTAACCCTTAACTTTAGCATCGTAAAATATACGTCTTTTGAAGGACTCAAAGAGTTCTTGAGATCTAAAAAATTAAAACGCATCTTAACACAACGTCTCTAGTTCCGATTTTTTTAGGATTGTAAAAAAAAATTTCTTACTTATTTCAAGTCAAAAAGCTCAAAGCAGAGATAATAAATACTACTTCAAATTTATTTGGTATAACATATTTTCAAATAATTTCATTAAATAAAGCGAAACTTTTTCCATATTCAATTCTCGAAGGCTCTACTCAAAACTTGTGTTTGCACGTTTATTCATGAATTGGTCCAATTCAGTCTACTTTTATCAAATCTAATGCAATTGTGTTCTCGTGCGGCGTTTGATTAGTATTGAAGAATGTCTAAAACTTTGTTTTGTAGAAAAAATTTGTCTTGCTTCATCATTACTTAGTTTTTCGTTTCTCTGAACTCTGATAAAATTTGAAATGTGAAAATGAGTTGCAATCGATAGACTAGCGGCGATTACGAAAAGTTTTGATATTATTAACAGAAATTGCAATTCATTTTACTGCGTTCATGAATAGGCGTTCTAAACCCAACAAATATAGTTTTACAAAAAAAAGTTTTTTATAGTTTTTACAAAAGTCTTAGAGTTGTATGTTGATTCGCAATCAGAAGCGAGCCAACATATAATAACGACACTAAGATTTTTGTAATAATCAGAAAATTTTAATCTTATTTAATGTATCACACCCTATGCCAAAGGTTTAACTCTTGTCCGGCCTTCATAAAAAATTAACTCTTGTAAATTTGAAAATTAATAAAGAACGACGATTGTAAGTTTCAATGAATACTGATTATATTAATTTCAAATGTTAAAACGCCACCTGATGTAAAACAATAACACCACTATTTTCTGTAACATGCTTGCAGGCTTGCTCAATTTTACAATATAAGCACAATCTAAAGTCTAAATATTGTCGGGGACACAAAAAATAGGATAGTATTCATTTTCTAATATAAACTGATCCTCGATAATACAATTTTGAACAAATCAGTCATAAATGTGAAGCGAAATTCGTAATTTAATTTATCGTACTCTACATTACCCGACATGCCACGATAATATGAGAGGCACACCTTCCATGAGAGATAAAAATAGAAGCTTCATGTCTTATTAAAAAAGGACAATCCAAACTTGACAAAATTAATGTCATTTTACTGCATTTTGCATTAGTAAAATCCACCATTTTACAAAACACTCTAGATAGAGCTACTGTGGTGAATTTGGGCAGATGCTAACTCTAGATGAAGAAACGTACAGTGTTGATCTACAGCAAGGTTTGCTGGCTATCTACAGGACAAGTTTTTATAAAAGTTTTAACTTTATGATCACAAATTTTATACTTTTATGAAAAACAAGGAAAGCTATGTGATCTATCAGAGGAAGCATTTTGCAGAAACATTGCATTTTTGACTTATATCATGACAAAGCAAAACAATTTAAATATTTACCTGCAAGGTAAAACGAAGCATATAAATCTTACTCATTGCTTTTTCGCTCAGATATATCTGCACGACATTTTCCAGAACTAGCAAAAATATTGAACGGGTAGTCATGTGAAAATAAAATATTTCAAGAATATGTAGCTGTTTTATATTTGTTAATAGAAAAATATACTTAAAGATTTTCAGATTTTGATGAACACTCTCCACATTTAGTGGATATATCCAAGCCTCAAATCCCTTTCTGACACTAAAAAGGATCCCACAAAAATCTAGAATAATGCTGTTGAATACACATGCCTACGAAAAGTCAACATTTGCCTTCATGATTAAAATTAGAACTAGTTTAAGAGCTCAAATTACAAACGCCCATTTATAGTATCAATTAAGGCTGCAATAAATCAATAAAGCTATGCAGAAAGTATAATAATTTCGCAAATGTCGCATTTATAGGTGTATCAACTTAATCCCTACGATCTGATGTCAGAAACAAAACTAAAAGTTGTGATAAGGAGAGTGATGATAGAATCACCCTGGAAGAAGTGAAAGGAAATCTAGAAAAACAGAGATACCCAATTTCAAAGTCACTCTAATAAAAGGAAAGAAAGGTCTACCCGCACCACTTGTGCTGGTAGAAATCGAAAAAGCATACAAATCGATTCTCAACGTAACCAAGGTCGAATAAAATCGGTAACAAAACCGGAAATAATCCAATGCCATCGCTGCTAGCTCTATGGGCACGTCCAGAAAAATTGCAACGATAACTTCAAGGGCATGAAATGCGGCGGCAGCCACATGACCAACACCTGCACAATAACATTAACCCTAGCTCCCAAATGCGCCAACTGCCAAGGGGAATTGCTAATGTCCAAACGGCGAAAACAAGAAGACTGTAACATCGACAGTGCCACAAAACGTATGGACAACCAGAGAAGAAAAAAGAAAAGAAGAAAACAAAAGGAAGGAACAACAAGAAAACAAACAAGAAGAAAAAAAGAAAAATACTGCAACGGTTCAACCAAACTCGCAAAAATCATTGGCAAAACGGTGGTTTCTCGACCACCATTTTAGTAAACGCGAACATCACGCCAAAAGTAATGAGCAAACTAATAAAAAACACAAAGGAAATCGTAGAACTTAAAAAAAACAATAAATGAATAAGAAAACATCACAACAAACAAACTGAAAAACTAAGATGAGCTAAGCAAGTTCAAACCAAAATGAACAACAAAAATCAAAGATGAACGGGACAAAGAGTACCCGATAAAAATCTAGGAACACATGTTATAAAATGTTATATATAAGTAGATGTACTAGACAGAATTTCTAAAACTACAGAATTATACATTCTGAAACTACATTCTGAGAGCGAGGAATAGGTCAAAAGCTATAAATTCCAAACACAGCATCAAAACTAATATAGACCCTGAAGACCTCAACAACTTCTTTACGAATAAACTAACAGAAATTGCTTCAAGGATAAGGAAATAGCCTTTGTAGCCCGAGTGATTACATGGATTGTGTTAAATGTAATGTTCCTTTGTACTGTTTCTTACAAATGAGACAGAGATATGCAACACTATAATGCAACTAAATAATAGTACTTAAATAATAGTTACTTGATAAGCGAGGAGAACTAGTACAAAACTGTAATTGCAAGTCGACTATTAAAAAGGTTGGGATTGATGTGCCGCAGGGATCCATCTTGGGGTCAATTCTTTTCTTGCTGTATGTTAATGATCTCGCTGAATCCTTAAAAATATGATAATCTAAAAGAAGATGAAGTTTTTAGTCGGACGGTCGCTTCTGACTGGTTTAACAACTGAATGAAAAAAAAAACACAAAGAATTGAGGTTCACACTAAATCCACTAATGCAACAGCTGCTAAACTACTGGGAGTAATCCTAGAGAGTTCTCTGAAATGGAACGCACAGATACATGAAGTTAGAAAGAAACTCAGTTCAGTAGTTTTCCAGCTAAGAACAACGATGAGATTGATAGATCGACATAGTCTTATAGTTCCCCAGGAGCTGAACGAATATTTATTATACAAAAAGAGCAGTCAGAGCGTTGATGAATCCAAATCAAATGAAGAGCTGTAAACCATTATTTAAGAAATTAAAAGTAATGAGTGTCTATTCGCTGTATATCTATAGATGTCTTATTTTCATAAAACAAAACATTAATACCAGAGCGTAAAATTTTATAACAAACTTATAGATACAACTACAGCAATGCTTCATTACAAAAAGAGATTAAGAGAACACTTTGGTGAAAACGCATACTACGGTATCAGCGAGTTCATGGATTCGGCGGGCAATCTGAAGCTGTAGAAATCGTCATATATTCTATATTATTATATTTTCTATAATGTTGTGAAATACATAATGAAATACAAATACTGTATCTGACGGCACGTAACTTTTGAGATTTTTGGAAATGAATTATTATTATTATACATATGTCGAGTTTGGACTCATTTTACAAGTTTTTTAATGTCCTGTCGTAATGTTTATAAATCAGTTATTTTTGACCATCTTAGATTTTATAAGAATATAAAACTCTTTATAGAAGAATAAACTTAGAACATAGAATATAAACTTTATATAGTTTTGATTTAATAAATAATTTTTTTCAGATTGTCTTTTCCATCGGGACATTCATCATTTTCAATGTACACGATGGTTTATTTCGCAGTAAGTATCAAAAAAAAAGAAACTCCATCATATACCCTAATTCCAGTTATAATCCTTCGATTTATGTTCTTAATAGATTTACCTTCAATCACGTATGACGTGGAACGGTTCAAAATTGTTAAGACACGCCCTGCAATTTATCGCCGTTCTGGCAGCTATTTTTACTGGTATGACTAGAATATCGGACTATAAACATCACTGGAGCGACGTTTTGGCCGGGTTTTCAATCGGGGCTGTCGTTGCGATTGTTGTGGTAAGTAACATCAAAAATAAATTCTTTATCTGGTTGCTATTTTTCTGTGTTGTGTAAAGTGTCTAAAATGTAACAATGTGTTGAACTAAAACTTAAAGAAATAAAAGTTTTCTTTGTTTAAATTAGTTTTGTGCAAAATATAATATTCCTGTGTACAATACAGTGTTTTTGATGGGTGAAACTAACACAATACGTTATTTTTTTTCTGCACACTTTTTAGGCTAACTTTGTCGGTGGGTTTTTCAAGAAATCTAACCCGCGGGAAGAATATGAACCAATTCCGCCTTAATTGTACAATAAAAGATTTGTACTTTAAAAATAAGGTACAATTATAATTTATTTTAATTCTTAAAAAAGTTACTTTGTAATACAAGTAATAGTGTAAATAGTTATTTGATTAATTCGATTTTTTTTGTTGTGCTTAAAATTCTTTACTCACACTGTTTTTTTATGCATGGTGATTCAGTTAAGTAATCAATTTATTCCCAAAATTGGATTTAAATCATTTAACGGAATGATCTTGTATAATTAATTCCACTTTATTAATTTATTTACTCCTTATTAATATAATTTACAGTTAGTATCTTACATCAAAAATACTGTTTGGTGATTTAAACACTTACTCGAGACACTTCTTTGCTTATTTATAAATGATTATGTATTAATTATTGTCTTCATTAATTTTATTTGCTTTCACTATTACTTCCTATTACATCTTCACTACATTAACAAACTTAACAAGCTTATATATTTTTCAAAAAATACTTATTAGTCACGTTTCATAAGATTTCTTGTTTTAATTTCAGGCTAAATACGTCTCGGATCTTTTCCCGGCTATACAACCCGAGGATGATCATCATCCTACGGAAATGAATCATTTAAACGGCCGTAACGGACACGCACAGTCGCACGTATAGTAATTACTGATACTGCCAAAATCATTTTCTCAAGCTCCATTCTAATTTCCAATTCTTTTTTAAAAAATTATGTAAATATTGAGTTTTTATATTTATTAACAAAAAAAATGAAATGTAAGAAAATTTCCAAGTATTATTTTATTAGTTGATAAGTAGTGTGTAACTTGCAAGCAATAAGTTGTACCTTAAATAACTATTCGTTAAAATTCTGTTTCTGTGATATCTAAATTTTGTTTAATTTTCTTAAATCCCTAATATATTAAGGAATATAATAGTATTTGGAATACATTTAATTTAGTTTATTATTGTTTCTATTATATTTTGTTTCGCAATTTATTGATTAAAAGTCAATATACGGTAACTAGAAAAAGATATAAAAATATTTATAGCAAATACAGGGTGATAACTATCTTTGTGAATCGAAAACCTTTGAAAACATTATAATGAAAACCAATTTTACAACCTTTCTAAGACACTTTGGTAGCTATTTATGACTTTGATCACCAATCAAAGTATTAGAGTAGTCATATGAGATACATTGTCAGAGCAACTTAATATATTATAAGCTTTTTTCTTGCAATAATGTAACTTAAGGAAATTGAAACTATGTTCTTGACTGATGATTTGCTTGTTTTGTAGAAACTAATAAATATTATAAATATATTTATGATCAGCATTATTTATATCGTTTTATTTTTAATAAACTTGTTTTCCCTATCAAATTCTTAATAATTTTTATTAATTATTTTCATTAATGTTTATTACTTCAAAGTTGGATTAATCTAAGATTATTAATTGATATTATTTACTCCCTTATGGGCTTTATATAGAAAGTTTTTTATCTGAAACATTTCATTCTATCATTTTCAGTTTTTGAGTTATAATTCGTTAAATTTGGATATCTTCGTATATTGTCTCTTATCAATTAATAATAACCAAAATGAACCAACATCGTTTATGGATTATTATTTTTGAATTAATTTAAAATATTTTTCATCTAAAACATTTCTTTCCATCATTTTTAGTTTTTGGGTTACAACCTACATATTTAGTAACGAAATTAACTAAATTTGCACATTTTCACATTAGGAAATTTATAAGCCAATAAATACTAATGATGGACGAAAATCGTTTAGTGAACATGCCTTTAAGGTTAATTTAAATGCTTATCAGCAGAAACAATACATTCCAGAAGTTTCAAATTTAAATTAACATCACATTTTGATATCAAAATCATTAATTTTGGAAATCTTCGTGATTTGTCTTTTATTAATGTATAATCATCAAGGATGAAGTAAAACCGTTTATGGATTATTATTTTTGGATTAATTTAGAATGTTTTTAATCTGAAACATTTCTTTCCATCATTTTTGGTTTTTGAGTTATAACCTATTTAGGTAGGAAAATAATTGAACTTAAAACATTTTAATATTTAGAGATCTATAAGCTGATGAATACCAATGATGGATCAAAATCTTTTATGCATCATGCCTTTAAGGTTAATTTCAATGCTTATTAACTGAAACAATACATTCCACCATTTTGAGTTTTGGATTTATATCTTATTTTGATTTCAAAATCGTTAAATTTGGAAATCGTGGTGATTTGTCTCTTATAAATGAATAATCATCAAGGATGAAGTAAAACCGTTTATGGATTATTATTTTTGGATTAATTGAGAATGTTTTTAATCTGAAGTATTTCTTTCCATCATTTCTGGTTTTTTAGTTATAACCTATTTAGGTAGGAAAATGATTACACTTCAACATTTTCATATTTAGAGATCTATAAGCTGATGAATAGCAATGATGGATCAAAATCTTTTATGCATCATGCCTTTAAAGTTAATTTCAATGCTTATTAGCTGAAACAATACATTCCACCATTTTCAGTTTTAGATTTATGTTTTATTTTGATTTCAAAATCATTAATTTTGAAAATCTTCGTGATGTGTCTCTTATAAATGAATAATCATCAAGGATGAAGTAAAATCGTTTATGGATTATTATTTTTGGATTAATATAGAAAGTTTTTCATCTGAAACATTTTCTTCTATCACCTTTAGTTTTTAAGTTATAACCTATTTAGGTAGGAAAATGATTAAACTTAAACATTTTCATATTTAGAGACCTATAAGCTGATGAATACCAATGATGGATCAAAATCATTTATGCATCATGCCTTTAAGGTTAATTTAAATGCTTATTGACTGAAACAATACATTCCAGCAATTTCAATTTTAGGTTTATGTCGTATTTTGATTTCAAAATCGTTAATGTTGGAAATCTTCATGATGTGTCTGTTATAAATGAATAATCATCAAGGATGAAGTAAAACCGTTTATGAATTATTATTTCTGGATTAATTTAGAATGTTTTTCATCTGAAACATTTTTTTCTATAATCTTTAGTTTTTAAGTTATAACCAATTTAGGTAATAAAATGATTGAATTTAAACATTTTCATATTTAGAGACCTATAAGCTGATGAATACCAATGATGGATCAATATCTTTTATGCATCATGCCTTTACGGTTAATTTAAATGCTTATTGACTGAAACAATACATTCCAGCAATTTCAATTTTAGGTTTATGTCGTATTTTGATTTCAAAATCGTTAAATTTGGAAATCGTGGTGATTTGTCTCTTATAAATGAATAATCATCAAGGATGAAGTTAAATCGTTTATGGATTATTATTTTTGGATTAATTTAGAATGTTTTTCATCTGAAACATTTCTTTCTATAATCTTTAGTTTTGAAGTTATAACCTATTTAGGTAGATACAGGACTGAATTTAAACATTTGCGTATTTAGAGACCTATAAGCTGATGAATACCAATGATGGATCAAAATCTTTTATGCATCGTGCCTTTAAGGTTAATTTCAATGCTTATTAGCTGAAACAATACATTCCACCATTTTCAGTTTTAGATTTATGTTTTATTTTGATTTCAAAATCATTAATTTTGAAAATCTTCGTGATGTGTCTCTTATAAACGAATAATCATCAAGGATGAAGTAAAACCGTTTATGAATTATTATTTCTGGATTAATTTAGAATGTTTTTCATCTGAAACATTTTTTTCTATCATCTTTAGTTTTTAAGTTATAACCAATTTAGGTAGGAAAATGATTGAACTTAAACATTTTCATATTTAGAGACCTATAAGCTGATGAATACCAATGATGGATCAAAATCTTTTATGCATCGTGCCTTTAAGGTTAATTTCAATGCTTATTAGCTGAAACAATACATTCCACCATTTTCAGTTTTAGATTTATGTTTTATTTTGATTTCAAAATCATTAATTTTGAAAATCTTCGTGATGTGTCTCTTATAAACGAATAATCATCAAGGATGAAGTAAAACCGTTTATGGATTATTATTTTTGGATTAATATAGAATGTTTTTCATCTGAAACATTTTCTTCTATCATCTTTAGTTTTTAAGTTATAACCTATTTAGGTAGGAAAATGATTGAACTTAAACATTTTCATATTTAGAGACCTATAAGCTGATGAATACCAATGATGGATCAAAATCTTTTATGCATCATGCCTTTAGGGTTAATTTAAATGCTTATTAGCTGAAACAATACATTCCACCACTTTCAATTTTGGATTTATATCTTATTTTGATTTCAAAATCGTTAAATTTGTAAATCTTGGTGATTTGTCTCTTATAAATGAATAATCATCAAGGATGAAGTAAAACCGTTTATGAATTATTATTTCTGGATTAATTTAGAATGTTTTTCATCTGAAACATTTTTTTCTATCATCTTTAGTTTTTAAGTTATAACCAATTTAGGTAGGAAAATGATTGAACTTAAACATTTTCATATTTAGAGACCTATAAGCTGATGAATACCAATGATGGATCAATATCTTTTATGCATCATGCCTTTAGGGTTAATTTAAATGCTTATTAGCTGAAACAATACTTTCACAATCGTTAATTGGATCATGTCTTTAGGATTAGTTTAAATGGTTATTAATGAATTGATATTATTTCTTTTTACAGACAAAATGGTTTAAAGTACAGGGTTTTGAATGGAATTCAGAACTCGAATTTATTGAGAAAACTTCGTTGGGATCGGATGTTAAATCGACTGACAAATTCAAGGCTGGGGTGTTAATTCGGAATGATCAAGCTGGAAATGGGGACCAGATATTCGAAGCCTAACGTGTTAGGTGATTGGTAATCAAACCAACAAGATATGTAGCTTATTATTTATTATGTTTATTTATTAAATAATTTATTTGCTCAAAATTTTTTTATGCTTCATTAAAATCGTCTTGATTACAAATTGATGAATGTATTTTTGTATTTCTTAAAATATAAATAATAAAATATATCTTAAAATACTATTTAAAACTACAAAAACATATTAAGATTTAACAGGATTTGAATTTTCCTTTAGCACAATTAGGACATAAAATTTCATCTTTCTCCATAATAAATCCTTTTCCTCCAAGTCCACATCGGCAAATAGCACAAAAGAAACAGTTATCATGCCAATGATGGTTATCATAATTAATATATTTAATCCCATCGCCATTAATTGGCTCTCTACATCCAAAACACTTTTTCGCAAACAATTTTCCAAAACATTTCGCGCAATAAGGTTTCTCATCGCGACTTGTAAACGTGACTCCGGAGAGTAAAGTAGGACAATTTGTACAGTTAAAACATTCAGTATGCCAGGGTTGATTTTTATAAGTAACTCCTCCCTTGATAATAACTTTATTGCATTTAGTACATTTAGTTCCAAATTTTTCTTGGTAACAATCATCACAAAATATTTTATCGAGTTTATTGGCAAATTTTTTTCCTCCGATAGGCGCTTGACATTCATTACAAATAAAACACTGCTCATGAAATTGTTTGTTCTTGTATTCGACGGTGTTCGTGCCAAATTTGAACGTTTTATAACAAGAATTACAACGAGGAGCTAATTTTTCTTCGTGACATCTTTCGCAATAAATATCATCCTCTTTTGTAATAAATTTTTGATTAACCAAAGATTTTTGGCAAAATTTGCAAGTAAAGCAAGTTTCGTGCCAATGATTTTTTTTATAAATTAAATATTTCGCGTTTGTCCCTATAGATTTCTCACATTTTTTGCATGATTGAGCGAATGTCGATTCGTAACATTTTAAACAATAAGGTTTATCATCGTGTCGGGTGTATTGTTTTCCAGTTAATATACAATGGCATTCGTTACACCAAAAATGATCTGTATGCCATTTTCTTCCCAAAGCTCGCGTACAAGTTTGATTAAAAATTAATTCATCACAAGTGGAGCATCTTGGTCGTAATTTTTCGCCGTAATGTCGATTACAAAGTAAAGAATCTTCGTGGACGCAATGTTTTAAATCTTGTAGAAACTCCTTACATTCGGTACATTTAAAACAGTTTGGGTGCCAAAAAGAATTTTTTAAGTGTGGTGAGATTATAAAAAAAGTTTTGGCTTGAATAACTTTTTTGCATTCAACGCAATTCTTTGTGCTATTATGGGCGTATTTAACGAGACCTTTTTCGGAGATAAAATCGTTGCGGGTTTTTATAAATTCTTCGAAGGATTCTTTTCCAGAAGAATCGAGAAATTTGCAATTATCCAAACTGTCGTCTTGTAATGGATTTTGTTTTAACAATTTCTCTTTTCTTACTTTTTCACCTTTTGTACCTATTTTTGGGACTATATCTTCTTCGAATTGCGAATAAAAACTTTCTGCTTCTAATAAAGTTGTTAAACCATCCGGAATAAAACCATATCCCAATAATTTTTGAACATCTTTTCCTTCAATCTCTTCCGAATCTCTTCGTTTCAATAAATTTAATTCTTTATGCTTATTTTTGCACATACAAGTTTTACAAACGCTTTTTAAACACTTTGATATCTTCAATAAATCAGGTTTATCGAAAAGTCTTGAGTATATTTCAACGACTCTTGCACAAGCCATCATTAGCTGAGGCCACGGATCACCGCAACAATCACCTTTAAATTTTTCTTGTTTCTCGGACATCTTAATTGAAACTGAACGAAATTGCAAAAACAAATTTGTAATATACGAATAATATATTCACTTTTAAATAATATTAAAACCAAATTAAGATAATTCGCAAATAATAAACAAATAAAACAAGAATCTTAATGAGAATTTAATTTAAACCCATTTAATTTTAATACTACCCTTTATTTATTTTTATTACAATAACAACACAAAGAAAACAAAATAAAAATAAAGTTACTAATTCTACTGGAATTTTAAATCGTAGAATCAAGTCTGGGTGCGGGGTTTTAAGGTTAATTTCAATGCTTATTAGCTGAAAAAATACATTCCAGTAATTTCAGTTTTGGATTTATATCTTATTTTGATTTCAAAATCGTTAAATTTGTAAATCTTGGTGATTTGTCTCTTATAAATGAATAATCATCAAGGATGAAGTAAAACCGTTTATGGATTATTATTTTTGGATTAACTTAGAGTGCTTTTCATTTGAAATTTTTTTTTATCATCTTTGGTTTTTAAGTTGTAACCTATTTAGGTAGGAACATGATTGAACTTAAACATATTCATATTTAGAGACTTATAAGCTGATGGATACCAATGATGGATCAAAATCTTATATGTATCATCTTTAAGGTTAATTTAAAGGCTTATTAGCTCTAACAATACGTTCCAGCAGTTTCAGTTTTAGATTTATGTCTTATTGTGGTTTCAAAATCGTTAAATTTGGAAATCTTAGTGATTTGTCTCTTATAAATAATAATAATAATAAAGGTCTTTATTTCTCTCTAAACCAAACACAATAAAATTAGAGTTACATAATCGACGAAGGGCGAGGTTCAGCCAGAAGACTGATCTTCTACCTAACCCTTCAAACGTAAAAAAAAACATATAAAAAAATATACAGGGCAATTCAAATTCGACCCCCACCATGGGGATCTCAGAAACTATAAGAGATACAGAAATGGTTAAATGGGGGCAAAGTTGCGTATCTTAGAGCTCATCGTTTTTCAACAAAGTTTTTGGATCTAGCCGTTTTAGTTTTTAAAATATGGCCGAAAAACAAAAACATGACTTTTTCGTTTTTTGCCTTTAACTTCTTTATTTTTCGTTTTTTCATGAATCTGAAAAAACAATCTTAAGGCAACTTTTTATGAAAAATGTCATGACACAACTAGAAATTTTCTCCCACGTTTGGTTTTCGTAAAACTATCATCAGGTTCATAATTATATTCAGGTCATAATGAAATCATGTGCTTATTTACAGCAGAGTTATATATTTACAGCATTTACCAGCAGAGTTGCTCTTGATTGATTCAAAAATCGTGAAGATCTGATACTCAGTAACTTGATGAAAAACTAACTTGTTTGTGGTTGCCTTAGGGTTATTTAAATAATAATTAATTAAATTGCCGTTATCATGATGGAAATCTTCGAGATATGTCTGTTATACAGGATGATTCAAAAAACCGCTGACAGACTTCTAGGGCAGATAATACATCAAAAATTAAGATGAAAAGTCTTAATATACATGGGGTCGCAAATGCCTCCTTAACGAAATATAGCGGGTCAAAGTTTCTTTAAAATTAAACATTATCAATAAAAAGCCCTTTTTTAAAAATATTTTCAACTCCACTGCTAATTTTGTCAAACGTACAGTATTTTCGTGTAAAGTGATCAATTATCTATCAATTGGTCTCTTACAAAACTTTTATTAAAGGAACAGTTTTTGATTGAATTAACAAATTTTCTGCAAACGTATTTTTCGTAAAAACTATTGCTTTGATCAAAGTTTTGTAAGAGACCAATTGATAGATAATTGATCACTTTACAGGCGTGAGAGCAATATTTTTAAAAAAGTACTTTTTATTGCAGATAATGTTTAATTTTAAAGAAACTTTGATCCACTATATCTCGCCAACGAGGCGTTTGCGACTCCATGTATATTAAGACTATTCATCTTAATTTTTCATGTATTATCTACTCTAGAAGTCTGTCAGCGGTTTTTTGAATCACCTGTATAGAAATAATCATCAGGGATGAAGTAAAACCGTTTATGGATTATTATTTTTGGATCAATTTAGAATGTTTTTCATCTGAAACATTTTTTTCTATCATCTTTAGTTTTTAAGTTATAACCTATTTAGGTAGGAACATGATTGAACTTAAACATTTTCATATTTAGAGATCATCAGCTTATAGGTAAATACCAATGATGGATCAAAATCGTTTATATATCATGTCTTGAGGGATAATTTACTTTCACAATTGTTAATTGGATGATGTCTTTAGAATTATTTTGAATGTTTATTAATGTATTGATATTATTTCTTTTTACAGACAAAATGTTTTTTTAATACTACCCTTTATTTATTTTTATTACAATAACTATACAAAGAAAACAAAATAAAAATAAAGTTACTAATTCCACTGGAATTTTAAATTGTAGAATCAGGTCTGGGTGAGGGAGCATAACGATTTTCTTTAGTTCTTTCCCCAGAGTAATATTGTCGATCACGCTCCCATCTCATTTCAAACGTACGTTTAACTTGAGCTTGATTATTAGAGCATGCTTTAAAATCTTCAATTAAAGTGTGGCACTTATTCAATGCGTTATCCAATCCATAAGCTTCGAAACAATCAATCATATCCATTTCACGTTTAGCACATTTCCCATACCATTGGTGACTGATCATAGCCCCGGTGATATCGGTGAAGGGTGTTTTAAAATACGGGGATAAAGACATTCTAAAACAAATAGAAATAAAGTTAGTAATAAAAATTATAGGTTATGTCCTCTTACATAACACTTTTTTCCCCATTATAAAAAGGTTTGCATATAAAATTTACTTACTTTGATTGAGAAACTAATAATTTTGATTAAAAACCGAATAAAAATGTAAAATAGATTCGAATTCGTTAAATTTTTTGGTTAGAGCAACTGACAGATAATGTCAAAATGCGAATTTTAAGGTTATGCTATCTAGGTTGTATTTATTATGGTGACGTTCCTAAACAAAAAAAAATTATCAAATTAAATTTTACTTACTTTATTTTGAGCTTTAATAAAGAAAAACTTTAATTTGAAATATATTATCCAAATTATTTTGATATTAAATGTCAAAAATAAAATTTTTTGGTTATGTTATCTGTCACCTGTCTAAAACACCTACATTACCGACACCTATCTAAACAACTTAGGTCAAGGACTCTAATTTGAAAAGTGAGGGCAAACACAGTAGAGCGGGGTCATTTAGGTTCATGGAATCGAACAAGTTTTTATCGAAATTCGCTAATATTATAATGAACTCGGAGTAACTGTAAAGTATCTACCGTTAGTGCCATTTCGTCTCGAAGAATTCACCTCCACTCTAAAAATTGATCTGAATCGAAAAAAAGAAAAATCGTAAGTAGGTAATTTTCTTTTGCGTTCACGTTTGCAATGTGGAGATCCTTTGCAAGTCATGTTGTCGCGTTAAAACCTTTCTCTTATGGTATTTTTAACGCTCCAGAACAAAGAGGTACGTTTTCAGCTATACGCGATTTATTTTTCAGTGCTTTAGAATCATTTTAACAACAGTAGAGACAACATGACCATGCTCAGTGTTGATGCCCAGATTAGGTACTTGGTGCAATGGTTTAACGAGTGGAGTGAACTGCAAAAGTCTGATTTTTTACCTATTATGACGGAAAAATATACAAACAAACCATACGTTAATGGAATTACTAACGATATTGCTAACATTAACTGCCAAGAAAAACCAATGTCATTATTCCAATGCAGGGTAAGTTATTAACTCATTCAAATATGGTTCATTCTTATTGCTGAGTCATTTAACACTTTGAGTCACTTTAATTTACTTAATTGGTTAATTAACTTTTTTGTTTGAAGGTAAAATTGTTTAAAGAATGGTTTTCTCAATGGAATCCAGAACAACGTGAATCGTTTTTGAAAAAAATATTGGAATCGGACGCTAGTTTTGCTGAAAAACTAAAGGGGGAAATGCAAAATGGAATTGATCATGACGGGAATGAGGAGGAAATACTCGAAGACTGATTTATTTGATAGGTGGAGGTTATTTTTGTTTGTTAAGCTCTCTTATACATATAAATTTAAGTTTATATGATGATTAATTTCATCTTACCTGATATTTATTTTTGTATCTAGATATTTTTATTTTTTATTCCTTTTTTTTTTATTTTTAAGTATTTTGTTAAGAAGTACCTAACATATTTAAGTGTAACTTTTTATTTTTACTATTTCTTGGTATGTATGAAATTATTTGTGATAATGGTTAAATATATCTATCCAAATATAAAAATGAATTTAAATTTTATCAAAAACGTTATAAAATATCTATATTTAAATCTTTTGATTATTATATTATTGGCAAAAATAAATATTCCAGTGATAATTAAATAATTATTTTTAAGGTGGAAATTGTTTCTGTGAGAATAGTTAGCAAATATAGCAGTTCAGTCCTTGTGATGTTATGAATTACATATTAACAGGTGATGTGAATCTGAAACATAACCTTTATGTGTTTCAAAGTGTTTAGTGAGAATTTGCGATAAAAATAAATATGTAAACATAACATTTAAAGTATTTAACAATGAATGAGAAACTAAAATTAATTGCTGAGGTAGAAAAGAAACAAATATTGCAACAGTTTGGAATAACACATTGTAGATTGATTTTAAAAAAAAGGACAAACTTTTAGAAAAAAGTGATCACTGATCACATGTTTGGTAGTGAATGAAAAATGCTTAAAACCTGTGTTAATAAAAAAAAAGAGATAATTGTGTAACACATACATATTATAAAAATGTTGGTCTTTCAGGAACTCCTATTTGAGAAAAAGCTTAACAATTTTTTAGCTTGATGATGAGGGCTGATAATGCCACAGCGGGCTATTCCTGCAAGGCAAAGTGTCTCTCAAATACGGATTGTAGTGTGGCTAGAAAAGTCTTCATTTGCACATCCGTGGACCAGACGATTCAAACGTTTAAGCAGTTCAAATCGACTGGAGAAGACATCTTTCCTGCTTTGTTACAGCAGGGAAGGTCACTGTTGTTGCCTATTTTGGTAAACATTTTCAGAGCGAGTGTCGCCTGGAAATATGTACCGGTAGAATCGACCAAGGTAAGGGTATCTACGTAGAAATACAAGCTTACGCTGATGACATTGTCGTTATGGTCAACGCAACCTGTTTGTCGAGGATATTTAAAGTCTTCCAGGTCAAGGACCCTAGATACCATTTGCGCTTGGTGTAAGGGAGAAAATTTTTCGATAAACCCGCAAAAGACAATTGTTGTGCCCTTCACCAGGAAACGAAAGTTGGATGAACTAATCCGCTCAAGTATCCAAGGTGAAGAAATTCCTTTCTCAAAAGAAGTCAAATATCTAGGAGTAATCCTAGACAAAACCTTGTCATGGAATTTATATTTGCAGGGAGTTTTGCACGAAGCTAGACTATTATTGTGGACTTGTCGCAGTCTTTGTGTAAAAAATTGGGGTCTTACCTGAAAGACTGTACTGGCTCTATGTGACTGTGGTTAGACCTATAATCACATATGGAGGAGCAGCCTGGTATAGGAAAGTCCGATAGACCTCAGTTATCAGTAAACTTTCACGAATTCAACGAGTAGCTGGATTGGCAATCTCTGGTGCGATAAACACAACGCCAACTCTAGCAATGTAGGTTCTGTTTGGCCTATCTCCTCTGCATTTGTATATAGAGAAAGTAACTAGAACAACCATTTACAGATTTAAGCAATATGCTCGAAACTATTCCGACGTGTCCTACCAATGGGCTGCGGAAGACATTATAAGCACTGATACTGTGCTATCAATGCAGTCACATTTGGTGGAATCACTATCAGTGATTAATGCTCGATACCAGATACGTACTGTACTGTACATAGCCTGGGTACGTACTGTACTGTATTCCAGGTATAACGATATCTATCAGGGTACAATAGATCCTTAGGGTCGGGGTGCAAGGTTGGTTGGTCCGCCTACCCGATATGTCAATTCGCATCTCCGTCCAATAAGGAATCGTATAGTTCCATTATAACTTGTAACTTCTTCCGTGTCGTACGTTGCGTTTTATTATTATTTTGCCTTGTATTGGCATTGTCCTTGGGCAGATTTCTGTGAAGGCTTCTCAGTTTCTCTAGTAATTCCTTTATTTGGATGGACATCTCATCATTAACAATTCATACCCACGGGCTTGCTTAGATTAGCTCCTGAACGAGGTGACGACGAATAGTCGACTATCAAAAGCCCATTGTTTGTACGGGTAGTCTTTAACCTGAGCTGAGCTTTCTGTGATAATCTAGCTTTTAAGACATAGTTAGTTAATATTTTCTTCCCACTCTGTATATGTAGAAATATCGTAATTTATATAGAAATACGTTGACGTTTTTTATGTCTGAAAATAGAAGATCCTAGAGCTTCTGGAATATCCTTGGAAAAGATGTTACTCTACTAAAATGGTATTTTGAAAAACGTTAGAAATCCCTGAACGTCTTTGAAGATCATTGTAGATGTGATCCATCATTAGATATTTTCTGGAAATCGTTGGAAAACCGTGCATTTCTGAGAATCTTTGTATACCTGAAAATACGTAGAACGTCCTAGAAGTTCTTGCATTCTTTTTGAAAGCTTTGAATGTACTCTTGAAATTCTTAAAATTTCCTACATACCTTTGAAAATTCTTAGAAATTCGTGAAAAGATTACAAATGATTTTTTTGTTAAAGCATAAATTTATTTTAAATTCGTCACTTACAAAATAATGATTTCTTACTTCTATTAATTCAATTTCTTATTTATATTTCACGCATTTTTTATTCCAGTAGACTATTTTACTGCAGCTTCGTTTTAAATCGCGTATGGATGTTCTTTCTGATAAGTTCATGCGGTGTAGTGTTTCTTTATATTGTATGTGTTGAGGTTATAAAGGCTATAATACTGTCTATTTTTAATTCATTGTCTAGTTGATCATTAGAAATGTACCACTCGGAGATTACTGCCATCTCGTTTTATAAAACTTGAATTTTTGTTACATTCGATTTAGGCCCACTTTTACCACCTCTTGATAAATTTATCCGATAGATAAATTGGTGCTCTTAACCAATGAGAGCACTTAAAACCGCTATAACCATGGTAATTATCTATCGGTTAAATTTATCAAGGGTGGTACAAGTGAGCCTTAGCCGAATTTCCTCAGACAGCGCAGGTATAGGTAGTTTCACATTTAAGCCTTAACTTTCTGTTTATTAAGGCATCAAGTTGCTTTATCTTTCCGTATCTTTTGTTAACCTTTTGGAGTATATGATACTTCCAATCAAAAAGAACCATAACACCAATATTACATGGGAAATCATAAAACAACACAGATAATGCGGCGAGGGAAGCTTTGAAAACAAGAGTGGTAGCAGGGCACCTAACTGCAAGAAAAACTTAAAACCTTATAAACTACATACGACCGTGACAGTCACCTACCACATCCGCGATATAAAAAAAAAGACACTGGGAAGAGTTCAGCACAGAGATGGAGATTAACTTATATGGTACCCAAAAAAGGATGTGGAAGCTATTAAGGAGTCTCAGAAAACAGGTGAATTCCTCACACAACTTTACTCTCAAGGTAACCAGGACAAGCAAACATTACACCTTATAACGATAGAGGATGTGGAAGAAACAATGAGTAAAATCAAAATCGGATAAGCACCGGTTCCAAACAACATCAGAAATTAACTATTAAATATTGAGGGAGACTGCTAGCTGATCAACTAGGAAAACTATTTAATAATATCCTCACCGCCGGGTAAGTGCCAAAGGCACTTACCCGGCAGCTTACCCTGCACAAGAAGGGAAAACTAGATGACCCTAAAAACTACTGATGTATATCGCTATTGAATACCACCATGAAGATTTTCACAAAGCTTTTAACTGACAATATCACCAAACAAGTGCACGCAAGAAAGGAACAACAAGGGTTCTGGAAAAATCGGACTACAACCGACGCCATTTTCATCGCCCATCAAATTGCCGAAAAAGCATTGGAATTCAATAAACCAGCATATCTTTGTTTCGTGGACCCCGAAAATACATTCGACAGGGCGATTCTCTCCAACATGCTGAAACTATTCCTTGCAAATAACATACACCCAAACATCATAGAAAAGGTCAAATAAGTAAACACAGTAAATAAGACAAAACTAAGAATCTCGAACGAGGAAGGACTAGAAATCAACATCATAGCCGGTATTTGCACAGGGTGACAGCCTCAGTCCACAAATGTTTAACATGTTATATGTAACATGACAGTATAGCATATACACTGGGAAGAAGAACAATAAAGATTGTGTGATGCAGACGACGCCATTATCATCGCAGAATCGGAGGATGAAGTAAACATGAAAATCGCGATCAATAAAACGAAAAGCATGGTCATCGCAAAATTACCCATTAGATATCACAGTATTGGTATTGCAATACGCGATTTTCGATATTGGTTGCATACTTGCAATGATGACGTCGGCTACGATAATTAATTAACACACTGTATATAGGTCTCAAGTTAAAACATACCACTTTGTAAAAAACCTTTCAATTACATACCCCAAAAATTACTGACCATGACCATCCACTCATTTGAGTGTGAATTACAGTCTGGGAGATTTAAATTGAACTTAAACAAATCATTTTAATATTTAAAATAATTCATTAATTTTATATGTAAGTTAAAATGTGGGAGCTTTTCAAAAATATTTCTGTTCAAAAAAAATTATTTCCTTTGTTAAGATATTGTTTTGGTACACATTATAATTCTTCTTTATAATACAATCTTTAAAAGTTATTTCAAACTTGGTTGTGGATGTGATTCCAAATATTTTTCACACAACTTTATCACATCTTGTCGATTTAAAATTTCTGCCTCCCTACAAATTCTCATCACATCACAGGTTTTATTGTGTTTAGCTGCTAAAAGAAATCCACTTCGAAGCTGTCTTGTTTCTATATACGTGTTTATCTAAAAATATAAAAATAATAACAATGTAAACAAAGGGAATTATTTTTACCTTGATATTATGATTCGAAATAAGTTTAATAGTTGTTTCAATTTCAGCATCGCTGCCTTCGTATTGTGCCAAGGCCTTGGCAGTTAACACTAACATTTCATCACAGATGTTAACCATATGATTTTCAGTGTACATACAGTTTACTAAGTCACGAATAGCGTCAAGTTTTCGTCTTTTAGCCAGTAATTTTCCTACTTCAGGGTATACTTTTGTCGCTTTAATTTTATAATCTTTAATTATGCTATTTAAAAAAATAAATAAGTCAACTTAATGATTTCTTAAATTATTTTTATACCTTTGTGTAATATTAAAACCCTCAGAAATATTATCACTTATAACTATACATAAAACCGCAATTAATATTTTTTCATATCCATTTCCAAATAATGTAGGAATCGTTAATGATTTATTTTCTTCCATTAAAATATCATTTATAACATCAAACACAGTTTTTTCTGAATTTTCAAATTTACTTAAATATTTAACAACCTCAACTTGCTTATCAATCGTATTAATATGTAAATTTACAGATTTATGGTCCAACTTCATAACAAGAGCTGCATTTGTAATAGGTTTTTCTTCTAAAAACGAACCATAAAAACTAGTTTTAACTGTAGTAACATCAACCCATTGTTCTTGTTCTAAAACTTGCTTCAGATGTTCTTGCGCTTTATAAAGAAATTCGTTTCTCGTATTTAATTCAGAAAAACTGGTCACGTCAGATGAATAAAATTTAATACATGTTAAAGCGGCGCGAACGAAATCACCAATAAATTGCTGAAGCTGATACAAACTATTAAACATGGCCTGTTTTTCCATGTAAATGCAAAGACTTTTGATATATTCTTTCCAAATGTCGAAGGAAGGATCGATTTTAACGATTGCGTTATGAAGTAATTCGATTACACCTTCTTTTAAACAATCGATATAAATTTCTATAAAAATATCTTTACTTAATTTATTTTTGTGTATAAAAAGAAGTGCTTCGGAAAAATCCTTATGACGAACATAAAATTGGCATAAACTTATCGCGCTTCCGTATTTATTCAAATAATACACACATTCTTCATAGAAAATATTTTCAATATGCGGTTTATAAAATTCGCAATTTTCATCAATCGTAAAATTACTTGGGGCGTAATTTCCTTGCTCGATCGCTTCCAAACTTAATAGATCGTTCATAATACATACAGCATCTTCATTTTGATACTTTTGATCGTTTAGTATTGTCGAAACACTAGCAAGGCTTGAGGTCGATTCGTACATTGATCTAGTTGAAGGAAATTGTTTGTATAATTTCGGATTAATCCTGTCTATTTTCGATTCAAGAATTTGTACTATTTCGGTTAAAAGAAGCGGGTCTTTTAGAATTTTTTTATTATCCGTTAAAGTTCGGTAATAAGAACGGTTTGAACGAAGAGACTGATTTTCTGAAAGACTCAATCGATCCAAATCGAAATGGGTGGTTTTTTCGAAGCACATTTTAAATTTTTGGCGAGCTAATTGAAGGTTTCCTGCTTGAAGAAAACTTTTACCCCACATGGCAAATATTCCTTAAAGAAAATAGAAAAGATTATTTTATTTAAGTATTAGTATTCAATATTTATTTTAAAAGTAATAGTTTATAAATAAGTGATATTGTTACAATTTGCTTTTCTTTTCTTTTTTTCTTTTTCATTTTCATTTTTTTGCTTTTCTTTTTCATGATATGTGACCATTACTAAAACAAATCACAGCTTCATAAGTACCAAAGTATAGTGTAGAAATCCTCACAGAAACCGTTTTTGGAACATATGTCCAAACTACATTATTGCTGAACTCATTGAGATTTTGAGTTCTGCCTTTCAAACATTTTTGTTAACTATAAAAAGAAAAGGATAGCAATAAAACACCTAACAGGGTTGGGTAATAGATTTAATAACTCTAAACAAGAAGTTTTTAATGGGCTGCAACCAAAGTTTATTTAAAAGGTACCTAGAATTATCAATAAGACTGAAAACACCTAAGTATGTAGGACTTTTCTCTTTGGCAAAAAGGAACACGACAATCTCAGTTGAAATATTTTATAAGGCGAGTATCCAACATGTCACTCATAAGTCTATTTTCAAGAGAATGAACCCGCAATTTTTCACCAGAAGCCTGAAATGCTTACAATGAATGTGAGTGGATAATATTATATGATCCTCATAACACGTTAAGCGTTAAGAATTTATTTACGTAATGTTTTTTAACATAACACATCACAGTTTTGCATACACTTCCGATTGTAACTTCAAATAAATTAACTTTTGCATAAACATAATTATGATATACCAGAAAATTCTTACCAGTTGTATCTAATCCAGCCTTTGTAGAAACTTCCAACCCTAAACTCCATTGTTCCAATTCTAATAACTTATCTCTAACACTCCGCAAAACAGAAGTATTTAAATGAGACGACTGTGTTTGAGAAGGAGGTGGTAATAAATCTAAATATCTATTCTCCGCTAATAGACCCAACATTTCCGCTTGCGACATGATTTTATCCGCTAAAGATGCTCCCCATTGAAACATACATTGATTTGACATCACTTTTGCAGCAATCGCCAAAGCTCTAAAAAATAAACCATTACAAAAAATACATTAAATTAAAAAAAAGCCATACTTAAGCATTTTAATTATTAAATTATAGTCAATTTCTTCTGATCTTTTATATTTGTGTGGCCTTAATATAGTGAGTATATTTTCACATTGTTGAAGTAAAAATTTCGGATATTCTTCGGATTTCGAATGATGTTTTAAAATCGATAAGCACAACATAACGCTTGGCGCATTTTCGAAAGAAAATTCTTGTCGAACTAAAGAATCATGTTCTAAATTTCCATTTAATATCCAATATTCTTCCGTAATAATTCTAGTTCCTTCAGTTTTTTGGGTTTGTTCAAAACAGTCGTTGCAAACTCGTACTAAAACATCCCCATAAGTATCAACAGTCATCCTTTTCGACGAACAACTCCAACAAATCACTCTTCCACATCTCCTACAATGGTGTCGTCGATTGAACATGGAGAATCTGGTGTGACGACAACACATGCATTCGTCAATTTCGTTATCGGGAATCCAATTAGATTTTTCCGGAACTTTATCGGGAACGAGAAATTTTTTCGGTTCCAAACAATTCGAGTCAATTGAAAGCATTAATTTACTTTCAGTACTTCCACTAGGTGGGGTCCTTCCGACGACTTTAAAATCTAAACTTTTTTCGGCGTATTCCCGTAATAATTCATCAATTTTTTCAACTGACATCACACTTTCATCGAATTCGGTATTTTCAATATCGTGTTGAATATTGATGTAGACTTCACCAAATTTTTCTAAACGAGTGTTCATAAGGAGCATTTCTAAAATGCTTAAAGGTTGGTCGATTAAACTCCAGGATTGTTCGACTTCTTCTGGAGTAAACTTTTGGAGAATTCTTGATGATATTTGAATGTTTTTTAAGGAAACATCAAATTCGTTTATTCCCAGAAGATAATTTACGATGAAATTAAGGTTTATTAAGTTTTTAAGAAGAGAAAATAATTTTATTGAGATATTTATGCAGTGCCTTTTAGGTAAAATATCTAAGAGTTGGCGGATATTATAAAATGAGTATTTGTTGAAATAATTTAATAAATGCTGTTCTGTTATATTTAATAATAAATCTTCGTGTGGTGGATGTAAATAGAAATAATTCATTAAAATGTCCAACTATAAGAAATATTAGTAAAAAAATAATATAATTATTGGAGATGGTAAAGAAAAATAAAGAAAATGTGGACCTCAAATCTATATATTTTATTATCTTGATACTGATTTCAATACATGTTTTTGGTGTAAACAATTCTGACATTAAAAAATAAGTACACAAATAAAAATGACATTACATTAAAAATTAAAGCATTAAGGCCCACTTTTACTATCCTCCTGATAAAGTATCTAGAGGATGGTTGCCATGGTTACGGCGGTTTTAAGCACTCTCATTGGCTAAGAGCTGGATTTATCTACCGGATAAATTTATCAAGAGGTGGTAAAAGTGGGCCTTAGTGTGGTTTAGACAACAAATTTACTTTACTCATAATAATTATTACAGTTGCAACAAGAATGGAGAGTTAATTGCAAAGGTAGATCAGGTAGACGATGTATATATTAAGTCATTTGAGTAACAAGTATTTAATCAAAATGGAGCAAGGGATTATAGAAAGATTGACATGTAAGGACGGAATGGAAACATGTGCTGGAAATTGTTGCCTAATCTGAGTCCTGATGTGTGTTCCAGACTAGACGTCGCGTCTTTATTTCTTTATGTAAGCAAAATAAAGGCGCGATGTCCAATATGAATTAAAATTATTAATTAAATCGCTTTAAAAAAGGTAGAGGCATAACTTTGAAATACTAATAAGGGGGACCGACAAACGTAATTATATTTTGGTATTAAATCCATCCAGCTGTTTTCGACATAACCGCTTCTGCTAAACTGCAATCAAATAAAATATGCCCCTCATTACAATCACATCAGGCTATGCTCAAAATTAAAATATTTTCGTCAGATAGTTTTTGAGAAAAAAATCACAAAGTGGATAAACTTGCCGGCATCCTCAAAAATCGGATACTTTCTTCATTTAACTAGCGATAAAAAGAAAACCTCGGAGAGACTTTGAACTATAGTTGATGAAGAAGTTGGATTCAACATCATTCTTTTATAACGTTTAGAAGAGTGCTTTAGGGAGATGAACTTTAGCACAAGCCTACAATGAGACAAGTCTCAAAAGAGCCAGTTCATTTGACGGCAAAAATGTCTGTAATATCAAAAAATAATCTTTGCCCACATCCTGACTTTTCTTCTCCATAGCTTGAGTTTTTCATAAAAGCATGTTTTTTCCCTGTAGAGGTAGATTGCGGGAATTCAACTACTCATTTTATTAAAAGAAACGGTACCAGCAAAATACTCTGCGTCTTTGTATCCTTCTTCCTGAAGGAAAATAAAAATTTCTTGCTGCAATTTAAAGGTACGTGGTAACACATCATTACGTGAGAACTATGGTACATTGCTATAGCATCACAAAGACAAATATTTGGATATCTTTATTCCATAATCCTTCCCATATTAAAGATAATATGGGATAATAAGATTTTATAAAATGTACCACACTCGTTCTAACACTTGGTTCAGTGCAAGACTCTAACTCAAGCGCTGGGTTTACTAATCCTTCATAGCAGCTAGATTTCTTAATCCTGACTTTAAGATTCCAAGAGGAGATGCGTGAATCGGCAAATGGAAGTGAAGATCAACTTCTATATTTCACCTTGTAAGCTGTCAATCTACATGGTATCGATAGACTCTAATCCTGACAAGACCTTCACCTTGAGATCTCTCTGTGGATGGAGCATCTACGACCTTGACATTGCTATTAAAACAATGTCAAGGTCACACAGTCTATGTTAGTAGTTAATTTTGAGATTCCAAAACAAAGAGGTGAAGTCACGTCAACTTTTAATCCAACGTTCGTGACTATGACCTTACCCTAAGCCTAAGGATATTCGAGATCAACGTTAACATTGATTTCAAGGTTCTTAATGACTGGCCTTACATTCTTCTTCTATATGTATATGACATCGCGACGAGTTTTTTGTTCTTGCAAAATTTAAGTGTGTGTTACTTAAAAGTATACAATGTTAAGAGAAGCTATTGACGATATGCAGGGCTTCGATGTCCTTCATTTTGATGTGAGCGTGTTTGTGTTATTTAATGTGCAAGATTCAAGATTGTAACAGCATAGACTGAAATGTTGACTTTGAGGACCAAGTTCTGCAACTATTAGAAAATAACCAGAAAACAAGTACTCGTGCAATTGCCCATGCGATGCGTATAAGTCACACATTTGTATGGAGGGCATTGAAGGAATACCAGAAGAATCAGTTTCACATACAAAAAGCGCAAACGATAAATCCAGCTGATTATCCCAACAGAGCTCAATTTTCCAAATGGTACTTGCAAAAAAANAAATTGAAATATTTTCGTCAGATAGTTTTTGAGAAAAAAATCACAAAGTGGATAAACTTGCCGGCATCCTCAAAAATCGGATACTTTCTTCATTTAACTAGCGATAAAAAGAAAACCTCGGAGAGACTTTGAACTATAGTTGATGAAGAAGTTGGATTCAACATCATTCTTTTATAACGTTTAGAAGAGTGCTTTAGGGAGATGAACTTTAGCACAAGCCTACAACGAGACAAGTCTCAAAAGAGCCAGTTCATTTGACGGCAAAAATGTCTGTAATATCAAAAAATAATCTTTGCCCACATCCTGACTTTTCTTCTCCATAGCTTGAGTTTTTCATAAAAGCATGTTTTTTCCCTGTAGAGGTAGATTGCGGGAATTCAACTACTCATTTTATTAAAAGAAACGGTACCAGCAAAATACTCTGCGTCTTTGTATCCTTCTTCCTGAAGGAAAATAAAAATTTCTTGCTGCAATTTAAAGGTACGTGGTAACACATCATTACGTGAGAACTATGGTACATTGCTATAGCATCACAAAGACAAATATTTGGATATCTTTATTCCATAATCCTTCCCATATTAAAGATAATATGGGATAATAAGATTTTATAAAATGTACCACACTCGTTCTAACACTTGGTTCAGTGCAAGACTCTAACTCAAGCGCTGGGTTTACTAATCCTTCATAGCAGCTAGATTTCTTAATCCTGACTTTAAGATTCCAAGAGGAGATGCGTGAATCGGCAAATGGAAGTGAAGATCAACTTCTATATTTCACCTTGTAAGCTGTCAATCTACATGGTATCGATAGACTCTAATCCTGACAAGACCTTCACCTTGAGATCTCTCTGTGGATGGAGCATCTACGACCTTGACATTGCTATTAAAACAATGTCAAGGTCACACAGTCTATGTTAGTAGTTAATTTTGAGATTCCAAAACAAAGAGGTGAAGTCACGTCAACTTTTAATCCAACGTTCGTGACTATGACCTTACCCTAAGCCTAAGGATATTCGAGATCAACGTTAACATTGATTTCAAGGTTCTTAATGACTGGCCTTACATTCTTCTTCTATATGTATATGACATCGCGACGAGTTTTTTGTTCTTGCAAAATTTAAGTGTGTGTTACTTAAAAGTATACAATGTTAAGAGAAGCTATTGACGATATGCAGGGCTTCGATGTCCTTCATTTTGATGTGAGCGTGTTTGTGTTATTTAATGTGCAAGATTCAAGATTGTAACAGCATAGACTGAAATGTTGACTTTGAGGACCAAGTTCTGCAACTATTAGAAAATAACCAGAAAACAAGTACTCGTGCAATTGCCCATGCGATGCGTATAAGTCACAGATTTGTATGGAGGGTATTGAAGAAATACCAGAAGAATCAGTTTCACATACAAAAAGCGCAAACGATAAATCCAGCTGATTATCCCAACAGAGCTCAATTTTCCAAATGGTACTTGCAAAAAAATGAATGATGAACCAAGATTTCCTATGATTTCCAAGGGTCCTAGATAATACCAACAGAAACCCTAAAAAATTTACATTAACAAGTATTATAGAAAAAAAAACGAACTATAGGAGTGTATTATGGACAGATGAGGAATATTTTACAAGAAAACGCTATTTTAATACACATAATAGTCGCATTTGAAGCGAAGAAAATCCTTGTGCTTTTCACACGCAACATCAATAGAAGGTTTCGGTTAATATTTGTGCTGAGATTGGTGATCATTATCATATAGTGGGACCATATTTATTGACTGCATGGTTAGATGGTTATGTGTATTGCGTTTTTCTGAAACATACTCTACCAGAATTACTTCCCACTTAATATTCGAAGAAATATTGTTTTTAGTACGATGGTGCACCAGCACACTTTGAAATAAATAACCGAAACTATCTAAATGCAAATTTCCAAACAGATGGATCGGAAGAGGGCGATTGATTATTTCGTGCAGACCAAGCACGTTCATCAGATATGACTCCAGTTGATTTTTGTATTTGGGGTGTCGTTGTATTTTCTTATTTTGTTTTTTTTCAGTTTGTTTTTGTTGGTATTATTATAAAGATTTTCATTTTTGTTTCATAAAAACCATCATAAAATATGTATACATATATTTTCTATATATTCTGGATTAAGTGGAAGAGCAGTTGATTAATAACCAAACTGAACTTCGTCCAGAAAATAAGTCTATTGTCTAAGAATGTATTATTATTTTTTTTCGTTTTTGCGACTTATCAATAAAGGCATTTATTATTATTATTATATTAAATCACTGGTTTATGAGACACCTGTTAATACAGAAGGAGAGTTAGTGGCTGTTTTGAAGAAATCGGCATTTGATTGCAAATCGTTACAACTTGAGTATCAAAAATAGTGGTCGTCGTAACTTCAAACAATTTTTATAAATTTTAATGCAGTATTCTTTCTAATACACTTATCTCTTTTCTGTTGTAATTGAGAGGGTTATTAAAGATTTCTAGTTTATCTTGACACTGAGGAATTTTCAGATACTAGTTTATTAATAAAAAATTTGTATTTCAGTGTCCACTATCATTTCCCAAAATTAGGAATAGCTATTCTGTGACACCCTGTATGTGTCTGTAATCGGAAAAACGACTATGTGAATTTATTATTACTCAGCGACTACTTTGGAAATCTTCATTTATTAAATAAAAAATAGACATCCCTTGGAAATTATTAGTGATTGTGGAAGATGTACTTCGTCCTTAGATTGAGGTTTTGTTAAAGCAGTTAGCAGCAATCCAAACAGAAAAAAAACTCCCGTTTATATTTTTTAATTAATTCGCACACTCTAAATAATTGAGAATTAGTTGAAATAAATAAGGAGGTCCACATTTAATTTATTCTTCTTAAGGTTGACTTTACAATAATTTTTAAGCAATATTAATTGTTATTAATAGGTAGTAATTTTAAAATCAACCATTAAATAACTATTTTAAAAATTAAACATAAAAATTGAAAAAGAAACTTACATCAGTTGTCTGTAAAATGGATATCATAACCTTTTCAGGATCATTAACACAAAGTTCATCCACTTCAAACCATGATAAATAATTACAGCGATCTTTTATCTATAAATGTTACATCAAATCAAATAAAATTTTAATATAAAAAATATTAACTTACCTTAATATAAATTTCAAGTTGTTTAAATCTCAACATTAATCTTTCAATTTCACTTGGATGTTGATATTTAGAAATTTGCGATTTCAAAACGTCAACACAGAATTCCCCTGGCCAATGTTGCATTTCTTCCATAATAATTCGCATTCTCAAATCGTCGTTGGTAATGTACCTAACAAAACTCCAATAATTTTCCTCATTTTTTTCTTTAATTAAATTACATAAAAGTATGTCTCTTAAATTATCGATATCTTCGTGTTTATCTTTTTCTGGTATTGTAAGTACAAGTTCGTACAAACACTTCCAAGTTGTATCTTTTGGTAATTTTAATTTAATGTATCCTTCATCGCAAAGAGCCGAAGATTCACTCGTTAATAATAATTCGTCGAAATAATTTTTTAAAAAGAAACTATAATCTTGATGAAGAATCGTAAGAGTTTCATTATTATTAAATAATTTTTTTAATCTTTGTATATCAGGTAAATTCATCAAATTCATAAAAACTTTAACTCGAACTTCGTTACGTTCAATTTTTGTGTCATTTAGACCGTGAATATTGTTGATTAAAAAAGCTAAGAACCAGCTTCTACGTTGTACGTAATTAATTACATCTTGTCGGGGTTTCTGTAAAGTTGAGTTTACGGTTGATTCAATATTACCTCGAATATCAAAGGTTATTTGAGGAAATGAAATATACGTTATGTGGTAAGGAAGATCTAATTTTAATTTGCAAAATAATTCGTCGAATTCAGCACCATCTAGGTTTCTTCTATACAGTAAGTTGCAAGTAATATCAGGTTTCTTATGATTAAGAATTTCAAAAACGGAAACTTCTTTTCCTTTCGATATTAAATCTTCGTTATTTTTTTCGGAAAAAAGGATTTTGGCGAATTCTCGAAGATATTTTAATAATTTTTGCATGTAAAGTGTGTAATCTTTTCTTTCATCAACTTTAAATGATATACAAATATCTTGAATTTCTAACAATTTTTCGTTTAGGATGTGATCTAAATTTAAAGCGCCATCTTTATCTGTATCGTATAGCTCTTTAAATTCGTTATAAACTTTTTCTAGTTTTCCGTATTGTTTTAATGTGTTAAAATATTTGCGAATATCATAAGTATTATAAGAAGAATATAAAACATCGGCGGAAATGTAATTTTTTTCGGTTACATCTTGTATTTTATCGTAAATTTTTGATAAACCAGGTAAAGAAGTTTTAAAACTATGTTTTAATTGTTGCGATAAAACTTTATATGATTCATATTTTAATGGCAAATTTATTAAAACATCTAAAAGATCGATATCTATTTGATTTCCATCGATATAATCATAAATTTCAACAATTTTATTTTGATGCTTTTCAATCACCTTTTGAAAAAGATTTAGTTCATCTTTGTTTATATTTTGTTTATCAATATTTCGAATATCTCGTTTTAAAGATGAAATATACCGGGAATAGTTTATTTCGTGATATAAAAGCGATTTCTGCATTTTAAACACCTAAAACAAATTTAAAATGTCACAACGACAATATAAATATTCCTTAAATAAATTGAATGAAAATTCTTTTAATTATTCTAATAATAATTCAATCGTGTTATTCAATTTGGCCACCGCCTTACAACATTCATTTAAACCACTCTGAAGAGTTTGTTATTTTCGAATCATTCGGCGACCCAGATAACATTTACAGCGATGATGAAATGATTAAATCCGAAGACCTTAAAAGTTTCAATCTTGACAAAGACTACGATAAATATTTAAAAATACACAAATATGCAATGGATTTGGGTAGAAAACAAGCAAAAAATTTTACTAATCCCATAAATACGACGAGGATTAAATGGAAAGAATCGAATTATGATAAAGAGGATAACGTGCCGTATATAGCAGGATTTTTCGAGAGCGAAAATTCCAATGTTTTAGATGAAAACGCGAAGGTTTTTTATTATAATGAAATGGCGAAAAGCGTCGTTGATAGAGAGGTTATGGAAAGAAATGGGGCGACTAAAAATGAAGGGAAAAGAGAAAAAAATTTAAATGTTATCGTACAAAAGAAATATGTCATTGAAAATGAAACCGATTATGATTATAAATTGTTTAAAAATGAGTACGATGGGGAAGTTGTTAAATTTAAAACGGATAATGATACATTAAAATTTGAAGATGTTAAAGAAGAAGAATCTGTGAATGATGCCGTTGATAAAATAATTGATTTCGAAGAACCTCTTAATTGCACTGAGGAGGAAGCAAAAGGAATCGGTTATATCTCTAAATTTATATTCGATTTATCCTATTTCTAATTTTGATTTAATTTTAAGGTTTAAAAGCTATGAAATGTCTTGCTTATGATTTACGAAACGTTAAAAACAGTGATAACAGAGAATTTTTAATCAAACGAGTTAAAAAGATTGTGTTGATTTGGTTTTGTGTCTATTTAGCGATTGCTGTTCCATTATGGTGCGAAAAAGGTATTAAAACATTACAATGAGATTATGAGAGTAAAATTAATTGATTTTTAGGTTGGTGTTGTTGTTGCTTCTTTTGTAACTGTTGTAAACCGCAAAAACGTATCGACAAGATTAAGAAATTTCTTGTGGAAAATCCCGTGGGCGTTTTGAAAACTCCTAAGGGTGTAATTAGGAAATTTAAACCGACACCTTACGAGAAATATACTCAAAAGAAATTAGAACAAGCCATAATGAAATTATAAATAGAAATAAATGGGACCAATTTTCACTATTATAACTTCCAGCTTTAAGGCTCGCTACTACCATCTTCTGGTTAAGCTATCTAAGGGATTATTACCACGGTTACGGCTATTTTGCGCGCTCTGATTGGGTAGTAGATGGCTGTATCTATAAGATAAATTTAACTAAAAGATGGTAGTAATGGACCTAAATTGTATACTAATTCAAACATCATTGTAACTTTTAAAAGCATTCATCGAAAAAATTACATTCTAAATTTACCTCTCAACATCGCAAAAATGTAACATTACAAAGTTACATTTAATTGTAACAACCGTTTATCAACGTTTAGAAGATAGATTAATGATAAAACTAAGTTCTATATGATATTTAAGTATTTCTGTGGAATTAAAAGCCTTCATATCACTAAATTTGATTTTTATGAATTATTGACACCCTGCAAAGTAATCAAATTTCCTCTTGAACATTATCAGAAGCTTTCAGGCTTATAGTCTGATGCAAGGTGTAGCGAACACAAAGTTTCTACGTACGATATTAGTGCAAGGTATTAATCCTAACCCTACTTCTGTGGAATAATTGTAGAAACCTAGGCTAGAAGGGTATGCCCACGGCCTGCAAGTAATAGCACAGGTAATAGTAAATGGCAGAGAGTTAGAGAATTTGCGAAATCCACTGTCGACGACATTATTTGCAACATGAAAATAATGCTAAGTAGCAGAAAATGTGTTAGGAACACCACTGGAGAAGGCGAGCATATTAAAATGTTGGCAGTGAAAACAAATAAGGTTATGAGGCAGGTTTGGAGATAGGGTGAGAGGATATTTGGAAACGATGTGAGAAAAAGGAAAATAATGTTTGAGAGTTTGATAAAAAGCGTTATGGTGTATGGGGATGGAAGTAGCAAGGGCTCTTAGATGATGTGTAGACCAGGTACTGGACGTGGATGTTGGGGTTGGCAAGGTAGATATGGTGAGGGTGGAAGCGCATAAGCGAGCGATGCGTTTTGAGGGGAGGGTGCATTGTAAAATATTGGAGGGTTGCTGCAGAGAGATTGAGGCAAAAAGGGCTCATTATGGGTGGGGTATTCAATAAAAGAGATGAACAGGAAAAGAAAGGAGGGGATCGAGATGTGGAAACAACTAGAGAGCAGAGATAAGAACGTGGGAATGCAAGAGAGAAGGACGGAGATAAGGGAAAGTAGGTATAACCCAAAATATGGCGAAACTGTAGCGGAGGGGAAGAAGTTGGTAGCCAGGTTTAGATATGGCAATGAAGAAACTGCCAATAGATATTGGATGGAGGATGTGGAGAGGGAGTGCAGACTATGCGGGGAGGACTGGGAATCTTTACACCATATGCTGGTGGAGTGTAGTGGATTGGGGAGGTGGTGGCAGCGAAGAGACGTAAAGAGACAGGGAGAGGCTGGAGAAAAGGATAGGAATTACATTAGTTATTGGTATTGTAGTTTTTAAATTGTAACCGTCTGGGAAACAATAAATTATATGGATCTGTGTCCATTGAAAAAAATAGATGAAAATAATAAATACGTATTAGCACAACTATATTGGTATTAGTACATGTGTTGTTGATACTCTTTTATTTTTATGCGTTGACCTTAAACTGCCCCATTTGTAACAGAATTTTTATTGTTATTGTTTATTTCTTCAGACTACACTTATTGGCAATTGTGGTGCAATTTGATTGTGTGTCGATTATCTATGAGATAGTCTCACATTATCATTACTATCTTCCGATTCTAGGATCTTCCCTTTTGTCAGTTAATGTTTTTTAGTATATTATAATCAGTACTTATAAGAAATGTCATACTTATCAGATACACCCCAAATGTAGACTGCTATTAGGCCTTTTTGTCGCAATACATCAAAAAGTATTCGTAGCATCTATATGTTTTC